AAGTTGTGCCAGGGGAGGTTTAGATTGGACATGAGGAAAAATTTCTTTACTGAAAGAGTGGTGAAACATTGGAACAGGCTGCCCAGGGAAGTGGTGGAGTCCCCATCCCTGGAGGTATTTAAAAGACGAGTAGATGAGGTGCTTAGGGACATGGTTTAGTGGGCATGGTGGTGTTGGGTTGACGGTTGGACTCGATGATCTTAGAGATCTTTTCCAACCTCAATGATTCTATGATTCTATAAGTTATTTCCTCAACTGTGAGCAAACTAAATAATAAAGCTCTTCACAACTTCTGTTCTCAGTCTCTTGCCCTTTTTTCTCTCTGCTCCACTAGCTCCCCAGCCTTCCACAGTGTATTTTAGCATGAGAAACAAATGCTATAAACATGTAAACAGAGCACCTACAGCTTTATCCACTGCAAAGAAAGGCACAAACACCCCATCCTCTACCTCTTTGCAAATAAGAGACAGAGGAAACAAAAGCTGCCCCTACAGTTCACCTAAATTCGGATCCATTACAAATGAATCAATTTAGCAAGTAGGGGGACCCAAATAATTTTCTGGATGGTTAAAAGTTTTTGGAGGGGGTTTGACAAGTCTGTCAGTCCCCAAAGAGAAGTTCTGCAATCCATGTTACCTAGGTAGTAAAGCAAGTGTCAAAGGAGACTAGCTAAAGACATGAAGAACACGACAAAGCCTGTCCTGCACTGCCCTGGGGAATTCATCCCAGCAGGCAGCCTGGGTCAGCTGACCGTGGTCACCTTGCCTTTACTCACTGACGCTCTTACTAAATCTTTGTGCTAGGCGTGAGGCTGAAGTATCTTGGTTGAGGTCCCCTCCTACACATCCGCTTGGCTCCTGTAGTCCTGCCTGTTAAAACCATATGGAGGAATTAAAGCACCCTTCTAAAACTGCAGCGTGCAGCACATGGGGATCCCCTACCAACACTTGAAGGGTGTCTGGATCATAGTCGATCACCCGAATCCCAGGGTTGTTGGCCCCATTGTTCACTCCAGGTAACGTTGTTTTCCAGGGAGTCACTCCAGGGGCCAGGAACATGACATTGATTGGAGAACCTTAACAGAAAAGCAAAACAACCCATGAATGGGAGACCCTGGCTTGTATCACACCCTGTCTATGCTGCAGTGAGCACCCCAGGAACTGACCACACTGCAAACAGCAGCTTTGTCACCAGCCCTAGTTACAACAGCACACACGTAAAGTCACCACATTGAACGGCATCAGGGATTGAACGTGGGTCTGCTGCAGCTGAGAACAGGCTTTCCACTGCTGTCAAAGACTCTTGCAGTGAGGGTGCACAAGAGAACCACACTCAGCAAAGGAGACCCAGAGCACCCAAAGATTTGTAACTGCTCCCTTATGTCTCAGCTGATGTCCAAACCCCATCAATAGGGAGCAGACAAGGAGCTGCAAGGCACCGAGGGGAAACAACAAAGTTTGATGGTACGCAGGAAGGAGGGCTGGAGCTACAGGCTGGGGGTGGAGATCAGAACCACTGTTGTATCTTGTTGACCAAAGCATTCCACAAGCCTTTTCTGGCTCCTCAACTGCATTCAGCTAACAGACACTGAAAACTCTCATCGACAGTGATTTTCTGGGGGTTGGCAGAGCTATTGCGCAAATGCTTGGGTGGCCAGAACCGGTACCTGTATCACTGTAAAACATCCGAAAGCTGTCTGTGTGATGGTGCCCAAAAAACTGGGCAGCAATCACTCTGTGGTGCTTCTGCACAATTTTCAAGTATCGTTCATTAAAGCCACTCCGGAACCAGGGCTTGCCTCGTTTCTTCTCAAAGAAGCCAGGAGGGACGTGCCCCACAATGTAGACCTACAAAACCGAAGAGTTGCACTGAATGGAAAGCCCACGCTTCCCACAGAGCATTGGCTTGCTGTGACTGCACAGAGGGGATAGCAGGAGTGAGAAGAGCTTCCAGGCTGGGAGAAGCCCTCTACAAAGTTTGTTTATCCATTTCTTTTAATACCATTTCATCTGCCCTAGAGGCATTGGTCAGTGTTTCTTCCAGCCACTGGAACTGTCCTCCAGGATCTTCCTCATCAGCTGTCTTGTCATTCTGGTCGTAGTACAGATTGGTATTGAGGACAACCATTCGCCCCCTTGTCCTTGGGCTGGGCAGCTTCTCACTGTAGAAAGCTCCTGAAAAATGCAACCGGCAGGGAAAGAGCTGCAGGTCTGGTCACGCTAGTTGGTGTGACCCCACATCCCTTTTGTTTCCATCCCTCTCAGCTCTCCTTGGCAGTAGCCGCAGCAGAGTCACTGTCTGGACAAGGTGCCAGCAGCACTCTGATCACTCCAGGATGGGGATTTGGAGTGACTCTTCCCCCTGTGTACCTCCTGTCGTGCTTATGCCTCTCCAGGTGAAGGGAGACCCTGCATGGGGACAGTGTGCAGCACCAGGGGCTGGGCAGCCCTAGAGAGCCACAGTGCTGGCCTGCACCAGCAGCTTTCCTAAAAGTTCTTTTTTCCTCCACTGAAGCTCACCACTCTGCATTCTCTGCAGGGACACTTTCCAGTAACTCGAGGAAAGCAGGATAGATTAAAGCATAAAGAAATTTCTTTTCTCGCATGCGGGAGAACTCAGTGCTAGAAATCAGCATTAAATTGGACGCTTCCTCTGCAAATACTCTATAAATACTGTTGCTCTGAGCATAGAAGCAGGGAAAACTATTTGTGGTATTCTCCAAACCACCCCCATCTCCCCAGAGTGCTGCCAACATGAGCCAGCGGTGCCATACCTGCTCTGAAAAGAGGAACAGAAGCATCATTCAGCCAGGGACGCCACAGTTCAGCTGTTCGGTTGTAGATCCTGTGCTCCTTCCCTGGAAACTGATTCTTGGGGTGGAAGTCATGATTGCCCATCGCTGCGTAGACTTTAGCATCTAGAGACAGAGAAAAGGAGGCACAGAGGAATCCATGCTTGCTTCAGAGTTCCTCAGCACCAAAGCTCCCTGAGGCACTCACAGACTTGGAAAGAAGGGCGTGGCATGAGAGCTTTGCAAAAGCAAATCATCCACACCACAGCCATGTGGTTGCATTGAGTGGAGGTACAACACTGCAAAGACCATCCCTCCTCGGGACAAGCCACCCCAGAGCCATGGCTTTACAGATGAACCAGTGAGCTTTCACCATCAATAATGCTCCTTCACCTACTGCTGATGTGGATTAAGTGTGATGAAATCTTGCAGCCTTTTCTGTCTTAACGACTAATTACAGAAACAATTATTTTCCTCTCTTCTGAGTGAGTTAACCTGAAACAATGAGTGTGCATCAGATGCCTCAGTTCAGACATGCCTCATGCCGTGCAGCAATTAGGAAGAGGACAAACAAGTCCCAATGGTCACAGCCCTTTTGTGCCTTTACCCTACCCAATTCTGTGATTTCTCCACCCTGGTAAGCCCTTTGCATGAGACTCTGTGCCCCTCTCCCCTTCTCATCCCCTCAGATCCTACCTGGAAACGTCTCTTTTATCAGAGAAGTCAGATTTTCTATTATGTGCAGAACCTTTTCTTCTCCAAGCTTCTCATTGGGGATGTGCGGAGTATCATCTCTAGAAAAATGAAAGCATCACAGTCACTATCTGTGACTAACAGGGCATATGCTTAAAGTGATAAGCAAGGCAGAGAAACTTGCTTATTTCTCTTTTTGCCTCCTAGAAAATAAAGATGAAGTCAAAGCTTTTGGGGTGGGAACCAGCGCTATGTTGACTGGCCAAGGCACTGAAGGAGTTTCAAGGAATTGCTCAAAGTGAAAACTGGCTCCACTTTATTCTACCTTGAAAAATCTATACACAACCATATGAAGTGGAGGTTCACTCTGCCTCAGTGCATTTAATAAGACACTAAAGCTGACTGGAAATATTGCAAGGAACAGCATTTTGCAATCTCAGGTCAACATCTGATCGGCAATAGTGAAGCAAAGCTGTTTGCACAGCAGAATAACAACTCTCATTAAAATGAAACAAAGGACACCTCCAGTAAGGCAGTGATCATTGAGGTCTGCCTCCAAAAATGCGGCAGACAAACGCTTCAGTGTTTTCACTAACATGCTTATGGCATTTCTAGATGATGTTGGGCTGTCAACAAGCCTATTGGAGAGGAAGGTCAAAATTCAAAACGATGTCAAAGAACTGGGGAAATAGTTTGAAGGAAGGAGAAAGCTCAACATAAAGTCATAAGGACCAATAACTACTTCTAAGTAAGAACAATCATTCGCAGAGACAGAAAATTAAAACGTGGGGTCAGGCAACAGCACTGCAAACCAGGACTGGAGGTTACCGCAGATTACAGGTTGATGTTGCAGAATAAAAGTAAACATTACAAGAGGACATATATACTTACCATAATCATGCAAAATAAAGCTTTTACTGTCTGTAAGTGCTACTGAGGCCTCCTGTGGAATAGGGTACCCACTTCTGGAGACCATACTAGGAGAAAACATGCTCCATTTGGGGACACGCTTCATACTTCTAAAGCAAAACAGCCCCTTTTTGAGACAAGTCTCCCAGGTGCCTCTTTACAGTTTGAAGGAATGCCACAAGTCTGTTTTGCAATGACTCTCCTCCCACTGCCTTTAACAGGTGGGACTTGGTGCACCAACAGAAAGAGCACGTCCCATTCCCCCGGGCGTTTCAGGTACTCAGAGTTTGTGTGAAGTCAGACTGGGCTGGCCATAATTAAAAAGAAAAGGAAGGATAGTGAATTGTGATCCTCTCCTTACCTTACTGTTTCTCACTGCTGGGGCTTGTTGGGAACCTCTTGCTGGCATTGAGAGGCCTCATTGCGGTTCTGCTCTCCCCCAAGCCTCCATTTTGCATTATAAGGCACATCCTTATCTCACCTCTCCAAAACGGTTACCACATAAAGAGCCCTGGATCTCCCACAAGCTCCTTACGCCCCAGCCCTCCGGCTGCCCCTTCTCCCATCCAAACCCTGGCAACCCCCAGAGCAGGCAGGATTGCGCCGCAGTCCGAGAGCGATTCATAACCCCGGAACCCCCACTGCCAATTCCTGGAATATTTGGTGTTTCTCCTCTCGGAGAAGCAGCTCTCTAAAGAGGCAGACACCATCCCTCAGCCCCCAGGACCGCAGCGGGAGGATGGAGGTGAGCTGAGGAGACCCGCGTCAGCGAGCGGCTTCAGAGCCCGCCTGACCGCCGCTGCTGGGGGGCGGCCGGGCAGCGGATCCCCTCCCGGCGG